ATCGCGAATTTACATCGCCTTTTAGCTTTCGTTTCGGCGCCGATAATGCAATCAAAGCACGCGTCAGCCGCATCGAACGCTGCAAGCGACATACCGAACGCGTTCGCCGTGGCGCCGGATATGCGCCTATCTTCGTGTCGCGAGCCGAGTCGAACTTGTCGCTCGCTCGTTCTCGCCTGTGAATTTCGCGACGAGAGCAATTTCACGTGGGGAAACTCGACGAGCGGCGGACGGCTATTTGCCGAGATTCTCGCCGTCCAAGCTTCAAATCAATTTGTATTTGCTCGCGAAATGAGCTTCGAGCCGTCGCCGCGCTCGCGCGTCCCTCGCTCCAAACGCCCGGCGAAAGCTGTAAAAAGCTATATTTCCCGCGAACGACACGGCCGTTGATATTTGCATAGGCGACTCGCGATTGAAGCACGGCAGCGTTGGTCGCGCAGGCGCGAAGCTCGCGAGCGATGTACGCACGGATGCGCGCGGGTTCCAGGGGGCGTCTGCGTGTAGCCGCAGTGGGCGCCCATCGTCCTACCCGTCTCGAAATCAAGCTCGCCACCGAGGAAACGTAATCGCGCGCCAAAAGACGGACGGCTCGAGTCTGATTTCGCTCGCCGTGTCTCCGCGCCGAAACTCGCCCCCGGGCTTTCCCCCTGATAGGCTTCTTTCTCGCGCGTTTCCTCGATCACTCCTGGGCTCCACACGTAACAGTTAGTTGCGCGCGTCCCGCGGCTACGATCGGTCGCTAGTTTCGTCCAGTGCTCGCGCTCGCCGATCATAGTTATCTGGCTGCCTTGCGTGCCGGATAAATCTTGGTTGGAGCATTCCATATTTTATTTTATTCGAGGTTCGTTTTTGCGCTGCATTGTCAGGCACGCGCCACGTTGGCAGATCTTCAACTGGAAACTCCATTATTGCGTAATTTGAATATCGCTCTCACGGTCGGACAGGCTGCTCACGCATATGGGAGGTGAAACGACTAAACGAATAAAAATTCATTGTATCTCTAACAGTAACATCTGAAACGCATCGTAAGCTTGCCCGTCTAGTGCGTAAGCCAAATTATTTAGCAATTACAAGATGTAAACAGATGGCATTACATGCGCGGATGCCGATAATACAAGCGGCAATAAGCCGTTTAATTAAATCCGATAAATACACGCATAGCTCGGAGATAGCTGCGCTCTCGATTAATCCGCGCAGCCTCCGTTCTATCTGATTTATGTGACGATCGAAGTTGCGAACGCTCCGAGACATTTATTAAACAAAGCTGTTATTGAACAGTCCCTACTTGGACAAATGGCTCTGGCTACGCTTTCTTAATTTACGACGTTTTTCCAGTTCTGTTTATATATCTACTCCGCCCTACGTCATATATCTCTCGCGCTCTCCCGTGCACGTCGAGAAATGCGCGTCTTGCTCTCGCGAAATAGCGTGCAATTAATAAAAACAGCCACTATCGCGCGGGGCCCTCGTGCGCGCAACCCAATTCCGCGTGCAAACAAACGAAGCCAAGTTCCGAGCGACAGCCATCATCGATATTCTATGCGATCCTCGTCGAAACTTAGCAAAGCCTCTCACTTAGCCCGCTCGCTGTATTGCCGATCCCTCGATAGGCAAACAATTCCGAGCGCCATATTTCCCGCGCACTCCCTACTAATCCACGTCTGGTCGTTGGATCACTCCTCCTACCGCCTTTTCGTCGGCGACCAGCTCGCGTCGTTGCGCCCGCCCCTCGAGCGCTAATCCTCGCGTCGCGAGGGGATGCGACCGCGAGCCGTATACAAGTATCGTCTCGCTATGTGACGGGGCTTCGTTCGCGCTGCCACCTACCGTACTCGCTGTTTCCAGTTTTATTTCGAGCACCCGATTCACTCCTGCGATCTCCGATTTCAGTCCGTTCTATGTGACCTGTTCGTCGACTGTTGCAATTGTCGCAATTGCTTATATTAAAGCTAACTTTATTACAATTAACGGTTAATCTTAGCGTATCAACTTGGACTGTTGGTCGTCTGAAAATGTCTAGAAAATAATTGGTAGGTGACTCGATACGGAGCACGGAATAATGTCGACACCACACTGATTCGCGACATTTCATTTTTCACGCTGTATTCCAACAATAAACGGGCACGCATTTTACAAAAGATAGTTCACCAGTTGGATCTTTAATTAAGTTTCCGCGCGCGTAAGTTACGTACTCACAGCATCGCGCGTAAGAAAAAACGAAAGGGAAGAGAAAACTCATTAGCCGTATAACGTGATTCAGTTCGTACGTTAATGGGGGCCGATAAAAGGAAGGGCAAAACAAAGCGAAAGAAATCCTCTCACCATGGCAATACGGGATTGTGGGTACAGAGGAAGGAAAAGCAGATCCAATATGTGAATAGAGCGAGGAAGCGAAAGACACCGGCCCGAGATAAAGGCTCGACGAACGCCACGGTAGCAAAACGAAAAAAATAAAAGAGAGAGACTCACGAGAGGGAGAGAGAGAGAGTCCAGCGTCGAGCGGCGCGATAAGCCAGTCACGAAGCTTAACGGTAAGCGCGGACATAAAGGAGACGTAATTAAAGCGATGGCGCCAACGTCTATACGCCAAAGAGGGAGGAAGGGCCGAATCGGCCGCGTTGAACTAATCGCGTAATGGACGGCTCGATGGTTTTTAATTGTCGGCCGCGGATTTTTTTATTCGTACGTTTATTTATTTTGTTTATTTTTCCATTTCGCGTGAGAAAGCTCGTTGCTTTCTGCACTTTTGCGCTGCCTCGATTATCATCCGACGCGGGAGCGAGCTTTCGTTGGGAGGGTTCCAATCGGCGCGCATTAATAATGAATGAAGCGGCGCTCTCCGGAAAGCTTTTTTATGTATGAGGAATAATGCTACGCGAGTTTTTCCCGTGTACGACATGTATCGGCGAGAGTATATCCCCATCGAGAGAGCGCCGCCGTGAATTTCTCGTAGAACGAGGCTCCATCGTTGCTACAAATTCGCTCGCGCGGAAATTTATGTGACGAAACGTAGAGTGAGAATAAACGTAAACAAAGTGGATAGCCCGCGTCGACGAGGATAGAGGGAAAGAGAGAGAGAGAGAGAGTCGAGCAGGCGTTTAACGGCCAGATAAGGCGCTGCGCGTTAAAGTGCAACGACAAAAACGTTCGGGGAAGAATTCGAAAACGATTCCTCGGAGGAATTAAAAGTCGCAAAAACGACCTCGCGATTAGAGTTGAGCAAACTGGGTAATTGAATTATCCGCATCGACGCGCGAAAAAAGAAAAGAGAGGGGGAGAGAGAGAGAGAGAGAGAGAGAGAGAGAGAGCAGCACCGGGGCGACCGGATGCCAGCAGCTTATACCTGGAATTCAGAAAGCTGCCTGCTACGCGCATACGGCTGTAGGTCGCGATTGGTCGTATGAAATGTTGCCGTCGAGTCGCAAAGAGCAGGGCGGCATTCAATTATGTTCGTTCCTACGGAATATATATGATCTGGGGCGTTTGTTTGGTCGTCGCGAGCGAGTGCGCGCGCGTTCGCCGAGGCAGATAGAAAGCTGCTCTGCGATGCGAGCGCGTTCCGGATCCTTGTGCGGCGGGAAAAGCGAGCGATTAAATTGGATCGGCCCCCTGGTTTCTCTCTCTCTCTCTCTCTCTCTCTCTCTCTCGCACTGCCGCATTCCGCTCGTTATGCAGCCGCCGTGCTCGTTCGAGGGCTAGTTCACCTCGGGGGTGGCCCGCGCGCTCTCGTCGCTACGGCGCGGGCGGCGCGTTGGTTTTTTAATTATGACGCGAACGCGACCAGCCGAGCGGGGCACTTTTAATCGCTTATTCCTGATTCGGTCGGCGGACTCCTTTCTCTCTCGCTCTCTTTCAGTGGGAATGTGGGTTCGCTCGAGTGGCGTGATTTCAAACGCTTCGCGGCGGCGTTTGACGAATGCCGTGCCGTTTCTTCTGCAGGGGCGCGCGCGAATACATTGACTTGGGAAACGTTCGAACTCGGCGGCATTCCGACTATTCGTGGCACGTTGCCTTGCGCTCGGCAAATTTTGAAAGGACACTCGGAGGGATGTTTCGTTTTACGCGACATTCATGTTAATTGCGCAGCGAGTGTTTACAGCTTTTAACGCGCGCGATCAACGGTCTATTTTTTCAGCGAACGTCGATGTTCTCGGAGGATAGTTTTTTTTTTATTTTCACTCTTTTTACGAGAATGAATAGTCTTCATTGTGAGTGGATAAGTTATCGAAGAAGCGACAAGCTGTTTCGTGATTTATGCACGAGATGGATAGCGCGATAAGTTTTTCATCGATGTATTTTGGCAATAACGTACCTACAACAATGGACGGTTGTGAATTGTCCGCGAGATAATGACTTAGATTTTATAGCATTTGTAACGATCTATCGCTTGTACTGTGTTTCTCTTGTTAGCAACACACGTCTCTTTAGATTTGGTTCGGGACATTGTTATCGCTCGGCATTAGCGGTCGGCTGATTAACCAATAAAATAAAATAAACGACTGGAAGTTGGCCGTATAAACGTTAAAATATGATAGTTGCTTATGGGCTTTCAACGATAGCTCGTTCCAGGTACACGCGGCACAATTCAAATCATACTCATTCCGCGAAGTAATTTACTTATACGAGCTGGAGCTCGCGCGGCTATCTCGCGCTGTGTAGCGCATCTCTCGGCGAGCAGTGCCAACAATTTACCTCGGTCCGGCGTAACACTCGCCTCTTCCGCGTTTACGGAGCCGAGGAGGCAGGAGGAGGCGATCCGCCGCTCGATCCCCGTAATCAGCTGCGCGTCGGCACGACATATCGCTCGGCTTTAATTGCGAATTCGTGCAACGGCAACGGCAAGCCTAATCCACCTTTGGCGCTCGCATGGTGATTGCAGGGGGCGATCCGGTGCGCGCCACACACGCGGACAGCGAGTGCACTGCCGATGGCCTCGGGGCGAGCGGCAAGGGCCAGAGGAGGGGATTCGGCCCGGAGAAGACGATGAAGCGCCGCAGAGGATGAGGTCGGCGCAGCTGTGGATGCTGGGCCTCGGGATCGGGTTGCTGCTGGTGGGACTGGCCGAGGGCTACCTCGCTGTCCTGTCGTCCGACCTACCCCAAGGCACCGTCGTCTTCGAGGCGGGTGTGCCGCACTTGGGAGGCAAGCGGAAGTATGCCGCGTCGCAGGATCGCACCGCTTGGTTCGCACTCAAACTTCTCAAAGTACATCCGCATTCTGGCAGGGTGACGCTTGCCAAGAGCCTCAACTGCGATGGGCTTCAGTATCCCAGGTCGGTATCTGACGCAGGCTGCCCATCGGCGAAAGCCCAAATTGAAAATCTCGGATTACGGAATACGACAACGATGAGCGTCGTCGTTACTAACAGTGCCCGTCGTCCCCTCGTGCCCTCGTTCGAGTTGGCAAACGGGCTCGCAAAGAAAATAAGCGAAAACGCCGCGGCTGAATTTCCACAGCACTGAATCGCGGCAGGAGGCGCGCGCTCGCGCATTACGTATGCGTGCGCCACGGCGATAACGGTGGCGAGCGTTGAGAGCGACACATAAATAAATGGTTCCAGTCGGGAAAAGGCGTTCCGGCGAACTAATAATGACCCGGTTCGAAGGCGCGCGCCCGCAAAATCGTTAATAGTCGCTAACAGCTCGTCGCTCATCGGCTCCTCGCCCATTAATAACGCGAATGACGGAAGTCCATTGGCTGCGCGCCGAAAAGCAAAACAAGCAGCAGCGAAGCGCTCTTTATGCAAACAGGCTGTTCACGTTCTACATCGACTCGACGAGCTCGAGGCTGGGCCGGGCGACCATCGACTATTACAGCCTGCCGCTCAGGGTATTGGTAACAGGATGCGGTGGCGAGCACGACGATCTGGCCTCGACCAAAGGATGGATGGCCGAAACATTGGCCTCGTACGCGATGCCGAGCACCGACAAGTTCACCGAGGTATGCCTCAGGGCCTCGCAGCTCGTCGCTGCCCTCAGGGACTTTTTGCCTCACACCGCGCTCAAACAGTGCGATACCAGATGGGGTATGTTTGCCTTTGTTCAGCTCGCTTTTTCTGCCTTCCGGCTAGACCCGACCTCTCCTTTTGTCTTCTCTTTTTGTTTTTGTATCTCGCTGCCGCCGCCGAGAGAGCGAGTGCGTTCATTCGATTCTCAGATTTATCGAGGCACTGACTTATGGAGAGGCGAATGAATAACGTCTGCTTTTATTATGTATAACGCTTGTTTTTTATTTTCATATTTCATTTGTTGCAAATGCTTTCTTTCTTACATTTCCTTCAAACGAAACGTTGCTCTTATTCAAAATTCTAAATCGAAAGAAAATATGTAAGAATTATCCAGGCTATCAAATTGAGATGAATATCATCTACAAATCACGCAATCGTTAATACGACTGATCCTTAATTTTCATTAGCAATAAACTGACGTTATTATCAAATCCTTACACGTTTGATCATTAAAACGACACAAAGTTACAACAGCTCACAATTCATGATATACTCAGATGGCAGAATATCTCGTAAAAGTATTTAATTATAAAAATTTTTTATTTTCCACGGTATACCGTTTTCTTGTAAATAACTGTTTTGCTGCGTGGTACCGTGCTCATTTGCATTCCATGCGCCAACAGATTCTTAGACGTGGCAGTAGCCTGCTATTAAAGCGTCTTTGTCGTGCGCTGGCATTAATTATTTTCAAACAAGTCTTGACGCTGTTGACGTGATGCGATTACACGTCTTCGATGTTGCTTGCGATTACTATAACTCGATTGAATTTTCTGACAGCAATTATTAGTAGCTGAGCAAATTCAGTGTGTCGCCTAGTTTCCTTTCTCGACATTTAAAAAAAATAAACGACTTATGAAAATGAATGATAAAATTGAAAGAAAAACATTGTAAAATAAAGGTGGCGTAGCAGATCCACGCTTCCTCGTGGAGGGTGCAGCAGGTGATCTAGTCTCAGCGTCGGAACAATGTCTCGTCGATCCACTGTGGAAAGTGTCGGTGACGATGACAATACGTTGCGGTACAACTTACTTGGCTGACGCGGAACACAGGTTGAAGATCGTCTTTCACCACCAACAACTCGACGATACCGATCTAGGAAGGCGCGTGAGACGAGAGCTTAGGAACCAGTCGCCATTTTTCGAGCAGGCGCTTTATCTCGCTTCCGTCGAGGAGGAGAGAGAACCGGGTGCTCTTGTTACCACTGTTAAAGCTAGAGATCCCGAAGGTGGAATTGTCAAGTAAGTATAATGAGGATTGAATTGATTTTTCACTGACCATTAACAATCGCATTTAACCAGGTATTCGATGAGTTCGTTACTGGACGCGCGTTCGCAAAGTCTATTCAACTTGGACGCGGCTAGCGGTAAAGTAACGACAACGGCACGCCTTGATCGGGAGAACGCCGACGTGCATTATTTCAAAGTACTTGCTGTTGACGACTCGTTTCCGCCGCGTACTGGCACCACCACCCTTCAGATCAACGTCATCGACACCAACGATCATTCGCCTACTTTCGAGTCGTCGGAATACGAGGCGTCGGTTCACGAGAGTGTGCCCATCGGGTCCAGCGTGATATCCGTCAAAGCTACGGATCAAGATCTGGGCAAGAATGCCGAAGTGGAATACTCAATTATCTCAACTACTGGTGGTGGCACGACGACGATATCCGAGGATCAATCGACATTCAGGTATTGATCGAAAAGAATGTTTTTTCTGAAATTGTGAGATTTGAAATATCTATGAATGTTTCGTTTACAGAATCGATCCACGCACGGGTATAATAACAACGAAAACATCGCTGGATCGCGAGAAAACCGAGGTGTACACCATCATAATTCAAGCATCAGACGTGGCTGACGATGAAGCTAACCGGCGAACAGCCTCGGCAACATTGGTAGTGCATGTGCAAGATGATAACGATAACTATCCGCAGTTCTCTGAGCGGACTTACATTGTGAGCGTGCCCGAGGACTTGGATTACACGATAAACCCGGTGATCGCCGAGATCCGTGCTACGGACGAGGACACCGGTGCAAACGCCGCCATACGCTACGCAATAATTGGCGGCAACACGCAGAACACATTCCAAATCGACTCGCAAACGGGCGATGTGATATTAGTCAAAGCTTTAGATTACGAGACCGTGAAGAATTATAAGATTATCATTAGAGCGCAGGATGGTGGTTTGCCGGCAAAATCCAATACAACTCAACTTCTCGTCAGGGTAAAGGATGTAAACGACAACGTGCCGAGATTTCACACGAGTCACTTTCAAGAGGCGGTTTCGGAATCTGCGGCAATTGGCTATTCAGTGCTCAAAGTTCAAGCTTACGATGCCGACGAAGGACCTAACGCTCAAATCAAGTATTCGATCGGTTCGCGAGATTTGATCGGTGGTTCGACTGAGAATTTCCCACTGGCCGTGAATTGTGAGACTGGATGGATATTCACGGTCAAACAGCTTGATCGTGAACGATGCTCGAAGTATCAGTTTGTCGTGATCGCGAGTGACTCGGGCGAGCCACCGAAGTCGGCTAGTGCTACTGTAATACTAACTGTCACGGATGTAAACGACAACGATCCTTACTTCGAACCGAAGAGTTACGAAGCTATTGTGTCGGAGAAAGATCCCGCGGGGACACCTGTCACTACTGTTACTGCCACCGATCCCGATGAGGACGCCAGGATTCATTACGAAATATCGTCGGGAAATTTGAGAAGTAAATATCAACAATTCACTTCCGGCTATGCTTCATTGACAATTCTAACGTGCTTTTTTCCACTTTCAGATCGTTTCTCCATAACATCTCAAAACGGTCGCGGTCTAATCACCATCGCCCAGATGTTGGACTACAAACAGGAAAAGCGATTTGTACTAACGATAACAGCCTTGGACTCGGGTGGTCGTAGCGATACTGCATTGGTATACGTAAACGTATCAGACGCAAATAACTTCACTCCGGTATTCGAGAATGCGCCGTACTCAGTCTCGGTATTCGAAGACGCGCCAGTGGGAACAACCGTGCTGGTCGTAAGCGCAACGGACTCGGATGTCGGCATGAATGCGCAGATTACGTACAGTCTTGGTAGCGAGGAGGACGGTGGGGCAGCAGCGGAAGGTAGCGACGAGTCGGTATTTACGATCAATCCACAGACCGGTGCAATTACCACTACGAAGCCATTAGACAGGGAGAAAATGGCCGGTTACCTGCTGACCGTCACGGCACGAGACGGAGGTGTGCCGTCGTTGAGTGACACCACCGATGTCGAGATTGCTGTGACTGATGTTAACGATAATCCACCGGTTTTCGATTCTCTCCAGTATCAGGGATCTGTGAGGGAGGATGTACTCATTGGCACGAGCGTCATCAGAGTGACCGCTACCGATATCGATGTCAATCTTAATGGCAGGGTAAGAGATATTCTCTCGAAAACACTTTGCGTTGAGTTCCGTTGACAGACTGTTAATTAACCGAATGCGTTTGTGCTTTCAGATAACTTACACACTGGAGGACGATGGTGATGGTTCGTTCGCAATCGATGCTGCCACAGGCATGATCCGAACGGCCAAAGCACTCGACCGCGAGTCAACGGCAAGATACACTTTAAAAGCCATAGCTACCGATCGTGGCTCGCCACCACTATCCTCCACTGTGAGCGTCGTGATAAAGATCGAAGACATTAACGATTCACCTCCCACCTTCGAAGCTGATAAAATAACGCTGTATATACCGGAAAATTCACCGATCGGCTCGACCGTTGGCGAGATCTACGCGCACGATCCTGACGAGGGTCCTAATGCTATTGTACAGTACACGATCATCGGTGGCGAAGATATTAACAGCTTTCAGTTGAGCTCGCGTTCTGGTGCCGATAAAGCTGAACTGATATCTCTCATCGAGTTGGATTATGAATCTCCAAAGAAGAAGTACGAGTTAGTTGTTAGAGCTACCTCCGCGCCATTGCGCTCGGACGCGATTGTTCAGGTAACATTCGACACATTCAACGATACTTGTACCGTAATATTATCGTAATGTTATTTTTGCAATGATGTTGTTCCATTTTTTTCAGGTTCTCGTTACCGATGTAAATGATAACGCACCAAAGCTCGAAGACTTCCAAGTGATCTTCAACAACTTCAAAGATTATTTTCCCAGCACTGCCATAGGTCGAGTGCCGGCGTTCGACGCCGACGTGACTGACAAATTAACGTACACAATTCTGTCGGGTAACAATGCCAACTTGATCAATCTCAATAAAACCAGTGGTGATATAACCTTATCCCCACAATTGAACACAAACGTGCCTCGCGTTGCGACAATGGACGTATCCGTAACGGACGGCATCAACGAAGTGAAAGCAACGATGACTCTCTCAGTAAGACTGATCACCGACAAGATGCTGCTCAATTCGATAACCGTGAGACTCGAAGAGATGACAGTCGAAGCCTTTCTCAGTCCGTTGTTGAGTTACTTCTTGGACGGCTTAGCAGCCATCATCCCGTGTCCTAGAGATAATATATTCATATTTAGTGTGCAAGAGGACACTGATGTGCATAGCAAGATTCTTAATGTTAGCTTCTCCGCTCGAAGAATCGAGCCTGGCTCCAGCGAAGAATTCTACAGCCCGCAATTTTTACAAGAACGCGTCTACCTCAATCGTGATATTCTCGCAAAATTAGCCAATGTCAAAGTACTGCCTTTCGACGATAATCTGTGCGTGACTGAACCCTGCTTGAATTACGAAGAGTGCGTTACGGTGTTGAAGTTCGGCAATGCTTCTGGTTCTGCAAGTAGTGATACCGTATTGTTCAGGCCGATATATCCAGTAACCACGTTTACCTGTCAATGCGCCAAAGGATTCACGGGAAGTAGAGAGGCCTATTTGTGTGACACCGAAGTCAATTTGTGCTACTCTAATCCATGCAAAAACGGCGGTACATGTAGAAGAAGAGAAGGTGGTTACACTTGCGATTGTCCGATAGGCTACATCGGCAACGACTGTGAAATATCTTTAGAAAGGGATGCTTGTTTGACAAATCTGTGTAAAGGTGGCTCTCAGTGTATAAACAAAGTCAGTGGTGGATTTTTCTGCAATAACTGTCCGGTAACGCCTTTGGAAAATGTAACACCTTTGTGTCAATTAAAATCGAGGAGTTTCGCATTAAACACTTTCCTCACCTTTCCCTCTCTCAAGCAACGACATAGATTACACTTGAGATTAAGATTCGCCACTGAAGTTTCCGATGGTTTGTTACTGTATAATGGTAGATATAACGACAGACATGATTTCGTCGCCTTGGAAATTATAGAATCTAAATTACAATTTAGTTTTTCTCTGGGTGATGAAATCACAACAGCAGTTGCTGAAATACCTGGTGGTGTGTCCGATGGCCAGTGGCATGAAGTTCAAGTATCTTATATCAACAGATCAGTTATAGTGTCTATTGATGATTGTGATATTTCATTGGCTTTAAGATTTGGTGAGAGATTGGGTGAGAAATGGGCGTGTGCAGGTAGAAACGAACAGCTTTTGGAATCTCGATGCAACGAAGTCACCGAAACTTGTCATCGATTCCTCGATCTTACGGGACCTCTTCAACTTGGTGGTTTACCGACGATACAATCCAAGTTTCAAGTGCGTAATAAGGATTTCGTTGGTTGCATCAGTGACTTTTACATAGATCATCAATTCGTCGATCTCAACTCATTTGTTGCGGATAACGGGACAACTTCCGGCTGTCCTGAAAAAAGACATTTTTGCGCATCGAATCCCTGCTACAACAATGGCAAATGCAGGGAAGTCTATGCCGGTTTTGTGTGCGAATGTCAGGAAGGTTTCGCAGGCCCCCAGTGCGAGGACGAAGTGACCAAACCCTGGAGGTTTCATGGCAATGGCTTGCTTAGTTTCAATCCTCTACTAAAGCCAATCCAGTTACCATGGCTTACGGGATTCAGTTTAAGAACGAGAAATCAAGACGCCTTCATCATGACAGTCCAGATTGGTCAGAACAGTTCCATCCTATTTGAAGTCGTTGGTGGACGACTGATAGTATTGGTAGACGGTGCTGACGTTATTAGATCGTGGTCTAAAGTTTCCGACGGTGAATGGCATAGAATCGAAGTACGTTGGCAGAGCGGTCAAGTGACGCTAGACTTGGACTATCGTAACAGGCCCATAACCCAATCTCTTCCTGTAAAACTACAAGGTCTTTATGTTGGTAAAACACTAATCGGTGGCTCAGACCGGTACTTCATCACTGAACTACCGTTCTTCAGTGGTTGCTTAAAGGATGTACGTATCGGTACCAATCAGACAATCCTTCAAAGACCTGTCATTCAAGACAATGTTGGCGAAGGATGCGAATCTGATGAATCATGTCGAACTGACTGTTCTGAGTCAACCAAGTGCGTGACTAAGTGGGAATTAAGCGAGTGCACTTGTTTGGAAGGTAGAGTTGGACAGGGATGCGAAAGGATATGTGATATCAATCCTTGCAGCGAATCTGGTACCTGTATTGAAAAATTGGGAAGTCGAAGAGGATATGACTGCCAGTGTAATTCGCCTGAATACTCTGGAGATTATTGTGAAGTCAAAGGTAAATAAATTTAACGCATTGTCGTGGTTAAAAACATCACAACGACCAATTTTATTTTCAGCTGAACAACCTTGCCCAGCAACTTGGTGGGGTTCGCCAGTATGTGGTCCTTGCCATTGCGATGAGTCTCGTGGTTATGATCCTGCCTGTAACAAAACTACCGGTGAATGTTACTGTAAGGAGAATCATTATCAGCCTCCTGGAGAAAAAGAATGTATCGCTTGCGATTGTTACGCTACCGGTAGTTATGGACCACGTTGTGATATTCTCACCGGTCAGTGTAGATGTAGGACCGGGGTTATAGGTAGAGATTGTACTGCCTGTCCCAATCCTTATGCCGAGGTCACGTTGAAGGGTTGTGAAGTCGTTTATGATGCTTGCCCAAGGTAACCGTCATTTTACAAAATTCATTTTGAAACTAATGTACTTGAATGTTTAGTCGTCATTTATTCTATTTCAGATCTTTCTCTGATGGGTTGTGGTGGCCTCGAACTAAATTCGATCAAACAGCGATCGAAGATTGTCCCGGCACTGCTGAAGGCAAAGCTTCACGTCAATGTTCCGACAAACTCAATGGCTGGCAAGAACCAGATCTCTTTAATTGCACGTCAGAGGCATTTATCGAACAGCGTCACCAACTTGCTGCTCTCGAGATGAACGAACTCACTTTTAATACCTATATCGCAGTAAAAATGGCAATGGAGCTACACAAAGCAGTCAATGCCACAAAGAACATGTACGGTGCTGATTTGCTTGTTGCTGAATCTTTGCTCACAGCTTTGTTGAAGTACGAAGAGAGTTTGGCAGGCTTGAATTTGACGCATAGTCAAGATAGGGATTACGTGTCGCATTTGGTTGAAATAACTGGAGCAATTCTACAGAATAAATACGCTAAGAACTGGGCGAGGATTGAATCATTGACCGGAGACAGTCCCGATACTATTATGGCTGCGATAGCTGAATATTTGAAAACTCTCGCTGTATCGCAGCATGATACCTATACTAGTCCCTTCGAAGTGGTTAATCCTAATGTTGGTGAGTATCTATCTGGTATTGTCTTATAAGCGATCCACAGAAAAATAAATGTTTTAATCTATTTACCTCCACTTTATAGTTTTGGGTCTGGATATCGTTACGTCCGAGAGTCTATTTGGCTACGAGCCAGCAGAGCACAAAGAAGATATATCTCTCTCGACAGCGCGACCAACCGAGGCTGATAAAAAAGTTGAGTTACCCGATACCTCAGCCTTCTTTGTATCGCCATTGCACATGGGTCCATCGATAAGTTTTCCCAAATACAACAATTACATGTCTGACCCAAACAAGTTCGATCCCTATTCGAAAGTACAAGTGCCTCTCAGTCTGTTGGGTATTCAAGATGTCACCCAAGGCGATCTCAATGTGAAAAACAGTTTAAGTAATCATAAGGCCGTGTTGAGTTATGTGCAATATCGTGAGCTTAGCTCTCTTCTTCCGAAAAGGTAAGCTAACATAATTTTCTTGAGTTTCTCTTCGACAAATCAAATATTTCGTGTTATTTGACCTTTGTAGATTCGACGATTCGGTGAATATAAGATGGGGAGTCGAAGTAGCAATCGGATCGCCCATTGTAACGGTATCCGTATTAGTGCCATCGGAAACTGGATACGAAACGCTGACGGGGATACCTCTTAAATCGCCCGTTCGTGTACAGCTTTGGCTTAGCGAGGACGACGGCTTCAAGACTCGCATTAATCCTCAGTGCGTGCATTGGAGTACGGCTCGAGGGTGCGTACGGTCAAGCTGGCGTCGCTTCGTCGGATTCGAAATCGCTAAGTGTTCGTTCGACTTTTCAGAATTGGCGAATGGAGCCGACTGGGCTGCACGACGGAGGTCGAAGAAACAGCGGTGCCCCTCGGCGGTGTCGTCAACTGTTCGTGCATCAAGCTGTCGACGTTCGCCGTACTTACGGACGTTCTCGATCTCGAGTACGTACCCGAACCGTCGCTTCTCGAGGACGTGACGAGTTACAGTGCATTCGTCATAGCACTGCCACTCTTGCTCACAACCATACTGATTCTGGCGTTGATTCGCGGGGGCGAGACAAATTCCAACAGCATCCACAAGAATCTCGTTCTGTGTGTATTTTTATCCGAGTTATTGTACCTGGTGGCGCTGAAAGCTAGACATCAGCTAGTCGGCAACGAGTTTCCCTGCAAGCTTGTGGCCATTGGGCTGCATTACACTTGGCTGAGTACTTTTGCATGGACCCTCGTCGATTCTGTTCACCTTTATCGGATGCTCACCGAGATGAAAGATATCAATCATGGCCCGATGACGTTTTATTACACACTCGGTTACGCTGTGCCGGCCATCATTGTTGCGTTGACCGTTGGAGTCAGGGCTGACCAATATGGAAATTTCTACTTGTGAGCACTCACTCGATGCGAGATTATTTTCAATTTGCACCGAAACTCATGCGACTCGTTGACTGTTTCAGCTGCTGGCTGTCTATCTACGAGAATGTGATCTGGTCGCTGATCGGGCCAACCTGCGCAATCGTATTCTTGAACTTTTGCATCCTGGCGTTTTCAGTGCGCGCAGCGTTCACCCTCAAAGAGCACATAGCCGGTTTCGGCAACCTGCGCACACTTTTATGGCTGTCTGTCGCCTCGTTACCATTACTCGGCACCACATGGACATTAGCGGTACTCAGCGCATCTGAGAATTCGCCAACTTTGATGTACATGCTGAGCGTAGCAGTCGTGGCACACGCCACTTTCAGCTTAGTTGGCTACTGTTTCATCAACGGTCGAGTGAGGAGAAATTTGTATCTGAGTTTGCTGAAGTGTGTTGGGAAAAAGGCGCCGCTGCTCGACGTCAGCGTCGCCAATGGGAGTAGTAGTCAAAACGTCACCTCGGGACCTGCTGTACGTAGCTCGTGAAAATTGCTCCGAACGAAGCTCGGCAAGCGAGAGACGACGTTAATCATTACGATTTTCTGCTAAAACAGCGGTCTGGGATCGCGTACTCGTCGACCTATGGAGGGACCGACGCAAACTCCAAAAGAGTCCACGTCGGAGTGTCGACGAGTAGTGAAACATCCCGAAGCACCAACAAGACCAGCTCGAGCCCGTACAGAAGCGACAACCAGCTCCGTAACACGTCCACCTCGACAAGTAACTACAACAGCGATCGTGGAGCTTACGTGCCTAAGCGAAGCAATCTGCTCACGAGGATATCCAAGAGACACGGTAGGTGCACTCCAGACCCTCGACTTTTCAATGTCGAACGTTTCCGTCCCGTCAACTCAGAGCTTCGTTGCGACTTTTCAGAGTCGAAGCAGGAACGCGAGAAGCCGAGGCGCGAGTCGGAGTCGGACTCGGATGCGTCACCACGCGATGGCCGAGGCCGTCCTATAGACATGGCAAGCTCGCACAGCTCCGACGAGGGGGACGACACTGCCAAGTCGTCCAAGCCAAAGCCGCACAATAACATCGTCGTCTCAACGCAACAGCACCAGGAGTCTTCGCAATCGCCTGTTTCCCACGCTTACTTGCCGAATATCTCGAATGGGCCGCCCGAGCCGTTGAACGTGTTACACTGCTCGAGCACCGATCTGTTCCCGAACATCAAGCCCATTTACGCGCCGAGGTGGAGCTCCCAGTTACCGGAACCTTACCCCGCTACGAACAGTAAGTTGCATCCACTCGCGCATGCTCATTACATAGCGCGCTCCATCGCGCTGAACGCTCAAACTCGAAAGCACGTTGCATTTTGAGAGCGTTCGGGTGACGAGCTCACTCATCTCAAAACGACATCTCAACTGCACGCGAATAACCAGTCCAATTTTTCACACTGTAGTAGACGCCCGAGGTAGTCAGTGGTCTGGCGGTACGATGTCGGACAACGAGGCAGCCTCGACAAAAGCAGTCAGCCCGAATCCACTGTCTTACGCCGAGTTGAATTTGCACCACCCGAAGCTACATCCAGACGAGAACTACTCGGAGCTCGGCGAAAAGTTCCACTCGGTCGACAAATACATGTATCCGTATACCGCGCCCGAGGACGCGCAGCAGCATCAGCAGCAATTGCCCGTCAGTCAGTCAATGTCGCCCACCCCGTACATGCTGTCGATGCCTTCGAGGATATTGAGCTCCAGTATGAGTCATCACTCGCAGGGTTCGAATCCCGATAATTATACTAACGGGTACGAGAGGTACGGCAGCTTGAAGAGGGGGCAGGCTCTGCACAAGATGAACGCCGACAATCTTGGTTACGCTAGCGATAGGTGAGTCTCGGGCGATAAGCTGGATTACCGTTGTTCGCCGAGGAAAATCGTTGACTGCAAAAATGAGTAAACGTCATTTCTCTCAGGTACGGAAGTTTGAAGAGAGGTGGAAGTCTGCACGGCTCGTACCACGACAACCTGAACACAAGCATGGAGAGGTACGGTAGCCTGAAGAGGGGAAAAATAACGCCGACCATGCTCGAGGATACGACTGACTACATAATGCCGATAAGCAGTAGGACGCTGTCCGGCTCTTTGAGCCACGACCTCCAGAAGCACAGCAACGAACTTGCAGCGCTGCGACAGCTCCAGATTCACCAACAGCAAATGCAGTTCGAGCAGACCATAGCCGAGACCGAGTGAGTATTGCTTCTTGTTTTCTTGTCAAGTTGAGCGTCGATCGGACTATCTACGCTTTACAACTTAACTTTCTACTGTGCCTTTCAATAATTTCGCATCACGAAGATGCTTTTATTTTTCGTAAGTTTTACTATGAATTGATCGTAGCGTTGAGTATGTTTCAAAGAGAAAATCGTATGAATGACTTATCGATAGCTACTAATTGGTGATGGTTATTACTTATTACTTCTTCGACTTTTTCCATATCGCTTGGCTTGGACCGTAACCAACTAACAGTGAAGAGGTAAGCTTTTCGCCAGTAGAAACTCTAACGCGACAACCAATGCCACTAGAATAAATAATTACCATCGAATAATAATCAAAGTATTTGTCACAATTTCAGGATGGGTACCAGTAATGCAGAAACGTCCGTATGACAATCTTGTCTACAACACAAACGAACAGAAGAAAGCAACAAAGCAACAAAATCTCGTACAAACTTACAGAGTTAGAAAAATATTTTAGGCTTCAAATTTTTCCACGCAATTTATATAAATAATAGAATAGTAAAGTCAAAGAAAAAATAATAGTGTTTTAAGCGCTGACCATGACCGTACTTAAAATGACGTAGCCATATATCGAATTCGCAAGTATGTGTGAGTGCCTGTCCATATTGTGCTTATTTCGTTTTGCACATTTGTTGTCGAAACGAGCGTTTGTAATTTTTTTGTTTTGTATTTTAAAACGCCTATGACTCGATGTTTTTCAGTCAGTTCGCCGCGATTACGATTACGTCGAATCGTTTAGACCGTAACTCTTTGCTATCCCGCTGCTTTTCTCATACAAGCTAGCTATCTATCAATCAAAAAAATTATGTCATACACCTTTGTAATTTACGTGTCACTTTTCTCGATGCTCAGTATTTGTGTAATGTATATATTCCCGATGTTTTACTGTAACTCTTTTTTTATTTACATTTTTATGCCGAATCGTGCATTCTTTATATGCCAAGAAGTAGGATAAGTATGAAAAGCGTATTATATATTGTATTTACTTTAAGCATTTGTATATATTTATATGATGATATTTGACGAAATATAAATAATTTATATACCCTTAAACCAGATTTTTTGAGTCATTTAAACAATTAAACATCGAGATATTTCTTGTTAAAAATTGCGTTTATTATTGCTATAAAATATAAGTTATAAATTACAATTAATTTAATACTTATACAAAAGCATCTTTATCGAACAAAAACTCAATTTACAATCTCATTGGTTAAGTGCTAACTGTTAAATTCCAATAAAAAGCTGCATTTTTGATGTACATGTTTGTAATTCAGATACGGTACGGAACGTCCTGCGTTCAAATGGAGCAAATATATAAGAATACGCTATTTTTTTAATGTGATCAAATCCATGTTTGAGAATGCAAAGTTTCGTCAGTGTTTTTAACGGCCCACATTATTTTTTAATTGAGTTTATAAAATTCTAAATTTGATAGTACAGTGATATAAACTAATCATACGTATCATTTTTCACGGTTAACAATTATCGTCGATTGAAAATATTAAAGCCGACTATTTCGTGAGAATTAAACGTATGAATTTGAAAGAATAAAAATTTATGTAAAACATATAGAGAGTACCATAAACAATTAATAAATAAATAATGCCGTAATATTATAACTGAAAGAAAACGTAAACGGTACCGCAAGTGCAAAAGTAAAACGATAAAATCAATAAATGATAATTTTTTATATTAATAAACGTTTAAAAACTTGCTTACACGATCAAAAAAATGTATTTCCACTTTATCTACACTATTAAATTTACAAATCCCGCATTGTTAAAAAGAAAGTTTTTAAAAGTGTATTTCATACAAAGTTGTAAATAAATTTTTATCTGTATAGAAACAAAAATAAAACCAATTCCCTGAATTTAAGCTTCAGCCCTGTACACACTACTTATAGAAAAAATGTGATTTTTGTACAAGAATTCATTTGATTCAGTTCCGGATATCGTTCACTCTGTTAAAATTCATGATAATGATTTTTTTTCTGGAGTGATGACTAGACAAAAGCAAAGTAACATCGCGTTATGTTACAGTAGATATAAAGTCACCATATTTGACAAAAAAGATTCTATCAGATTCATATATTCTTAACAACTATTTTTGTCTTACTAGCTAAACATTGTTTCTTATTGATCAAAGTGTAAATATCATATGTAAATTTTTGTGATTCTGAAAATTTGATTAAAAATGTTGAATTCACTGCTTTGCACCCTTACTTACAAAGCTGCATTGACAAAAGCTGCATTGACAAAAGCTGCACGGAATGAATGTTTCAAGCCACATATCTTTGATTATACATTTACCAGCACGAAAAATATGGCTGTCGACATGAGTCGTCCGACTTTTATTTCCTCTTTTCTAAACAACGTTGAAAGACTTACAGTACTAGAAATATCGGGTAAAGATCCATTTAACTCAATAAAAAATCTGCAAAGGCTATTGACATTAAATATGCATCATAAATAAACTTAACTCTGACTTCCGAAACTCACAACGTTATTTAGACAGGTTTCACAAACATATAAAATTACGTGCTATAGACTAGGATACAATGAAAAAACGACTCCTTAAACGGCATCCCCGTCCGAAGCAATGGAAAGACTATTTTGTAATTTCGGTACAGAGTAGTTGTCCGTGTGATTAGTAGACGTCGAGTTATGGTTTCGATTGTTAACGCGTTCCAAGGTTGACGGCGCTGATGGAGTATCTTGATTAGCTTTCGGAGGTATTGGCGGCGGACTTGTCTGATAAAAACACGATAAAAAAAAATTCATACATTTTCACTAGTAGAATTACTAATTATGCATAAAATTTACCTCTTGACCAAGTATGGTATGAGAATTTTGAAAATTCACACTGGAAACGCTAGAGAAGCTGACTGTCGATATAGTCATAGCGCTTATCACAGTGGGAGGTGAGATATTCATGATGTCGTTACACCTGGCCCGTGGCTCGAAATCTTCATAGCTGAGATTGTTCAGGTTGGACATGTGTGATTGAAAATCCGAGAGACTAGATAAAGTCGATATGCCACTATCGCGTAAGTCGTGTGAGTCGGTTGAATTTCTCGGATCGTCGTCGCCACTCCAGTCATTGCTACGTTTGTGCGACAGTCGTTTGGGTGGTGCTGGCGGTGCTATTAAGCTTGTGCTCATATCTCTTTTGTCAGGCACTTGAAATAATATTTCCAATGTAAGCACTGAATCTCCAATAAAAAATAAAGCCCATACCTAAACCACGTGGAGGTAAAGGTGGTGCAGGTTCCGTACTCGGTTCGCTCCAAGAATTAATCATATTATTCTGATCACCACCATCAGTCGGAGTGGAAAGTGAGTTTCTTAACGGGAGCTTGGGGCTAAGCGGTTTGCTTAGTGTACGCTGATGAGTTGGTCTTGGTGGCGTAGTGCCGTAACCAACGGATCGTGGTCGCACTTCGCGCTGTGGTATCGGCGGTGGCGGTCCAATCTCGCCGCTTGCACTGCCATTGCTTGTGCAATGCTCGACTTTAGTGTAAAAACCTTCGTCGTCGAGATGACTGTCGCTGTCGGCTCTTGACATTCGCGAACCGATCATTGATTCGAGAGTTACGGGTCGTTGTTTGTCCACAGGTACTGGTGGCAATGGTGAGCTAAAACATTTTGAAATAATATCATAGAGATTACTTTTGGAATTCAATTGTAATTTTAGAGAAACGTACTTGATAATACTGTCTTGATGCACGATACGCTGCCTTGTCATCGGACCCAGACTCTGCTTCAGTTGCGTAAACCTTTCAATCAGTCTCTTGTGTAACGGTTGCACACCCGCGGGTGCGATTTGGCCGTGTAACACTAGCCCAGATTCCAGCACGCTCATCTGATCTAGAATGAGATTCTTCAGCTTGTTAACGTGCGGTATCATTTCCGCATTTTGCCGTGCGAACTCGGCCGTCAGGAATGCCTCTTGATACTTGGTGATGCCACCCATTACGTTTGCGTCGATTATGCCTTGCAGTCGCATACTGAACGGATTGATATTTCGATGTGGCTCCGCGGTGTACTGTGCACAGAAGATAGAAACACATTATGTAACGGTCGGATCGTCAACGAATTATAGAATGTATACCTGTGCAACAAGTCGCCGCAGTTCACGCTCGACGCTCTGCATAGTCTCGCAAGCGTACTGCACAGGCGCCAGAAGTTCGGATTTCTTGTCGATAACTTCGAACCACCTCAAGATTCCCGGTAGTTTGGCCTCGGTGGTAAGGCTTGTACGTTCGATCCACAGGGACTTGAATTCATTCTCGCGGTCGACTTGTCCGCGGTGCAATGGTCGATCGAATACAAAACGACGCACGTCGTTCACCAGATAGAACGCCACTACGCGTTCTGGCACCTCGAACTGACTGCAGCCCAGACTTCCTTCTTCGGGGATTGGTTTTACATTACAAATTTGGATATCTGTTTCAAAAGTGAATATCAATGATTTACATTTGTCAAATATTAGAAGTATTTATTTAATTATCTTACATTGGCCTTCCGACGCAAGAATGGATTCGTCTGGCGGAGAATTTTTCATTAAAATTTGCGCACTCGGAAACTCTGTTTGCAGTCGTTGTGTAAATGCGCCGATTCTTTCGTATTCTAGACCTCGGTAGATAAAAAGTTTATTCTAAAATAAGAAATGTATCACAGTCAGATACGGAGTTAAAACAAGATCGATGTGAATAAAAACTGATGAAGACAAATGTTTACCCTGACAAACAACGGAAAACTCAATCCATAAAAGCCAACTCTGAAGTATTCCGGCTCAGGTCTGAGCTGGGTCAAGATGTTATCCAAAAACTTGGCCTGGACCTTGAGAATCTCGCTAAGTTTTGCATAATCGTATAGCCTTGTCTCGTAAAGAACCGCGAGCTCTTTACATAATGGAATACCCTTTTCCCAGCACTTTCCTCGATCGAAATAGTGGATGATTTTATGATAGAGTAACTCCTTTCTCTGCCATTCAGGTTGTTGGGGATAATTGTGATCAGCCATAAGAACAGTCGAACCCCAGCCTAATTGGTCGGCATAGAGCTTCATTGTGAAGCCAGCTTCCGTGTAGTTTTCCGCTGCGAGATGCAGGTCGTGCAGCTTGTAGATGTAACGGAGGTACATTTCTTTGCGATTGAACTCGTTTTTGTAGAAGTTCTGTGGGAAAGTAAAAATGGTACTTGAAACGTAAATAAGGAGCATTTCACAAGCTTACGAAATTTGTTAATCAGAAAATTACGTAATAATTATTACTTCATGATTGAAAAATTCATTTTTATAATAGTTCTGCAGATAGAGCAAAATTAATCCGAGATGTTTTTCAAAATACGACTTATTATTTTCTTTCGCGACTGGTTGATTTTGTTGCTGCGTTTTCTTCTCGAATTCGCGAAGCTTTTTTCTGATGCATATACACAGAACCTCCATCGAATACTGTCGCGTTTCTCGACGGGAAGAGGCAAATGAAATAACAATAATCATTTTGAAAGTCATAATGAAATTAACACTCGAGTCGCTAACATACGCGTTTATTACTTTGCATCTGAGAGTAATTTGAAGTGCACGTGGCAAAAATATATGATATCCTACCAGAAGGTTCACTGTGCAAGACATGCGCTTATCACGATTTTCGTCGCCTTGTATGACGCTACGATAGTCCAGTAGCCGCTCTAATAGGCGCGTGACAGAAGTTATGAAAGCCGTGCCACTGTCCTTCCAAGTTGGATCTTCTGATTGTACTCGATCTAACAACCTGCGCAAGTGAAAATTCATATTTTGTGCAGCTTTACTAGGTGAATTTTAGTTACTGAATAAAACAGGAATAGTAATGGAAAACTTAAAATAGTTAAGTGTTTAAAGGTTTATCGTCGATACTAAAGCTTAACAGAAATATTTGATTTGATAAGCTATTCTCGTGGTTTGATGAAATTATTTAGAAATTTTTAGGTGTACTCGTGCACAATCTCAGCTACATTTATGAAAGCTCGTGGTATTCTATTTACATTTTGGTTTTCTCAGTGTATGCAAAATAATCAATGAAAATTTTTTTAATTAAGTCACCAAAACGGAAAAATAACTACAGAAATGATAATCGAAAAAAAAACTAATAAAATTATATTTCTAAAATTACAAAAGAAAAATAAAGAAAAAAAAGGACAAGGAATCTCAAAAGAATTTTGTGCATTTCATCAACTTCTAAAATGTCATTAACTTACACAGCACTGAGATGTTCCCTATAATGGCATGAAAAACATCACGATAATTTTAATACAATTAAGTAATCATTGAAACAAATATTAGTAAGGCAGTTTAAGTCACTTACATCGTATTAAAAAGCTGTCTATATTCGTCATCCCCTTTGTTTTCGCTTATAAGAATATCCAGTTTATCGATCAATTCCGACTCGACCGATTTGAAGCTGCCGCGCGCTCGTTGTTCGCACTCCATCATGTCGAAAAAGATATGAAGCGTCGCTTTACGCAGTTCGCTTTCAGGTACAAGTGTAACTTCAAGAAATGGGCCGACCATGCCTGGAATGAACTCAAGTTTCTTGTCGCCTAAGTGCGACCACATGGAGAGAATTTGGAATCCCATGAGTACGCGCATATCGCCATATTTCTCGATGACTTTCTCTCGTTTGACTTCGGAAAATTGCTCAAGCTGCAAAGATGGTTGCGTCAAATATGCCACTGCTAGATTAAAATACGTCGACCACAATTGGGAATCGAAACTTCCATGTAAGAATCTGCAAACAACCAAAGCGTCAATTGAATATATTTGTTCGAGCAATTGTAAATGGTGACTACCTGAACGCAAGTGGTTGAGCAAGTTCTTGTAGAGATTTAAGAATAATCTGATTAGCCTGCATCCTGAGTACTAGCCAATCAGGAGGAAAAATTTCTTGCCTAACCAACTCCCGTAAAACTAAAAACACTTTCAGTAAAAAGTCTTTCAGAGGTTTTCTCTCGCCACCGCTCGTCAATTCTTCCCAAAGCCTCGCGTAATGATACTCGTCTAACAGTTGTAGCAGTCCCATGAGACAAGCAACCAGACAGTTGAGTATAGAGCCACCGGCGTTTATGATGATTAAGATCGTTTGTATGAGAACATCGAGTATCGCCAGACACAATGTTTCCACGTCATGATGAACGCAGTTGTTGACTTTGCCGTCTCTGCCTCTCTTGTACATAAATCCAAGAATTTCGCCCAAAATTTCAGTGCAGGTGCGCAGCTCTTCTCGACGTACCAGGTGAATTCTCAAGTGACGGCATATCGTCCCCAACAGCATGTTTCTACTTTCGTCGTCTTTAAATAGCTCGGACGAGACTAAACTCTTGATCGCTTCGAGTTTAGCTTGTATCAACTGCAATCGCGCGAAAGCTCGGTTACAACAAGTTTGAGAAACAACATAGTCGAATTTATTGTGTTGTACCTGTGGCGCAGCATCCCTCGGCACCGAATCCAACAGCGAGCAAGTCATAGTAGCAACTTCCAATATCGAAAGCACGTCGATTAGTTGCTCGAAGACAGCCGGCATGGATGTAATTACTGCCACTTGAAGGCCAAGTACCATCTCGTAGGGTAGAGTGAGCATCTTGTTGAACGAGGCGAAAACGCAGTAGAGATCCTTGCGAAAACTGTCCTCGTATTGGCCGGCGGTCGCTCGAGCGTAAAGTATTCGACTCTGGATAATGAACTTGAAGATGTACTCGAGAGATCTGAAGCACTTCATGATGAACTCCTGCTTCTCTGGTACGGTCACCCACTCGGTACAGTGTTGCACGCTGCTGATCAGACCCTGATAGACCAGTGCGGCCGCAAAGTGGCCCGAGATGTAGGCGTTTATTACCGGCTTGAAGTGCTCGAACTTGGAGTCCTCGAGGAGAATGAATATCGAGACGAGCACCTGAAATTGAAGATTAGAAAAGTTGTTTTGTCAATTTATTTATTGCGCTGCTGTATTTGATGATCACTTTTTTACTCGTATTTTTGAATAATTTTGCGAAATTTTTACTCTACGTGTGAAATGAGGGCTTACCTGGAAGACGAGGCCAGAATGGGCAGTAGAATTGCCATCTTCGGTGTGGAACATTGCGAACAAAGAATCAAGAATATCCTGGAGAAATTTGACCAGTTCCTCGCCCTCGAGACGAAGTACTCGGCCAAGAGCTTCGAATATCTTTTCTGGGTGAGCCTTCCATTGCAACAGACTCAGAAGATCGACGTTTTGAGTTAATTTTGTGCTGCACAGTAAAGTTTGCACGACAACGATCTCCTTCGGTGAACGTGAAAAAGGTGCCACACCTGTACGAGCAAATATTAGGCATTACTTTGAGTTTCGTATACACGGCAGTTTCGAATAGAAGCTCTCCTTAATGGTGCTTGCTTGTGCATAATAGTAATGTTCTCATAAACGCAATTTCTAGACAAAGCAATTCATCTAGAAAAGAAAGAAGTTAGAAACTTGCGACACGAAACACGTGGATCCAAAGAAATAAAAGGCCAAAGTAGTAGACGCCATAGCAGGTGGATATACACAGGGGGTAATTCAAAAGAAAAGGCAGTCGGTCGTACCTTGGCAATTTGGCTCGCGGGCGTTGCTCGGCAAAGCGAGGTAACTGAGCGACTCCAATTTCGCGCGCTCCTCGCATTTGTAAATGTAGAGCTCGTGCAGGCCATCCTGGAGGGTCGCGCCACCCGTCTCCATCAGCCGTACGAATGCGAAGGCAAACAGCTTCTTGTCATTCTTCTCGCGGGCTGCGTCGACCGGCAGAGAAAGAAAAGTACATTCGAATGATTAATGGGCAATGTCGCCCCGACGCCTCCTCCTCTATTTCTCGAATTCGATTGTCGCGCGTTTCGTGGATAGAATATTGCGTTTGTGGCGCAATTTTTCGCGAAAGCCGTTAAGCAGTTGTATTTATAACAATCGACAGGACTTCCCGAACGCTCCTTCCTGAAAATTCGTCGTTTCGTGACTTTCACTGTGCGAGTTTGAAGAAGAATTAAGCGCCTCGAGAACAAAAGCCCAGCGGCGGAGCTGAAATATCCGTCTCACTTTTTAGAAGTAAGGAGCAGGCGACGCGTTGACAAAAAGAGTAGGGAGAAGGATGCGTCCGAAAGTGAGAGACTCACTGGAACAATGTCGAAATTCGAAGCGCACGTGACTGGCGTAGAACTTGTCAATAGGCACGGCGAGCCGCAGAGTTTCAGCCCAAGACGGACTATTGTGATGGTAAATCACTAAACTTTGATACTCCGAACTCCCATCCATCCCGGCTGCTCCGAATAGACATCCCTCGAGCGGCTGGCCTTCGGCGTCTAATACCGTGATAGTTACCTGGAATTTCAATTGAGCAAGCCTCGGTCACCGTGCGATCGGCGGTCGACGGAGTTTTTCCGGCGAACCGCAACGTCGACACGTACCTCGATATTCTTGCCGGTGGACTTGCCACCGCGTTCGAATTCGCCGCGCTCGAGTTTGAGATAAAGATCGTTGCGGACGTCGCCAGGCATGATCACGTCGGAGAAGCCGAGCTTCTTGGTGAGGCAGATGTTCTTGAAGAGAAGCGGATTGTCCTCGCGCACCTGGCACAGCTCGCCGTGCAACACGCGGAACGATACCACTATCCCGTAGTTCGGCTGGCCCGGCAACGGCGAACACTTGTTGTTGCGGATTATTTGCTCGTGCAGCTGGTGGAATTCCTTCTCGTCGCCCTGGTACACCTGCGCGCACACGGCGAATCGCCATTTACAGATTTATCTGGCCCGTTCGCATTTCTTTTTCCTTATTATCGAGCGCAACGTTGTTGTTGCTAAGAATTTAGGTAACACTTCGATATCACTATACTAATTGAAAATTTAACAAGACGCAGATGGTTGGTGGGTGTTTGCATATAGTTGTAGGCTGCAAATGGAACGGCAATCCGCAAACGTTGCCGCTTCGCAATTACCAAGTTTTGCTATTATTCGGCACTACTATTCTAATTCAAATAGACTGTCTGAGAAACGTATCTTGCTTCACAACTTTACATCCGAATTCTCGATCGAATCACGCTATTCATTTGATTATTATTGTTACTTTAAGAATTACGTTCACGTGAAACGGTGCAGAGGTACAACAGGTACCTGTAGGCATTAATCTTGATTTCCTATAGTCGTGTAGACGACCTACCTCCCCCCACAATTTTAGGCAGAGTGCGAGAGGGGTTTTTTACACCCATCGTGATCAAACCTACACTTTTTAGTGGAATCTGAACCACCGAAATCACGGTAACAAACATATGAAAATTTCATTTTTGAAAATTCTCACATGCCTGGGGCTCGAACCCATGACCTCTTATACAGAAGTCTGAGTTCTTAATTTGATTGAGAAATACTTAAACAATAAAATCGAAGCGACAACATTGACAAGTGAAAAACATATAACTGAAGATCTAAAACTGATAGACTGACCTTAAACGTAAGCTCAAGCTCTTCGGTCTGTTCCTGGGTAGCATCGACCAACGAGAGCACGCCGACACCATGTGGCCTCCGATAGACGGCGGATCCGGCCTTGTTTTTGCCCGAATCCGAATAAAGCATCTTGCCGCATCTCATCACGTGCGCGACCATGTATAAATCCCTGCTCAAATCCGCGTTGCCCAAATCGGTGAATATCGTGCAGTTGCTGTGCATCTTCTCCACGTAGTTGGAGAAGCCCTCCTTGGATATTCGTACGAGGAAGCGTTCGCTCATGTATTGTCCGCGTTTGGCGTCGTACAGCGAGAAATATATCTCGGCGTCCTCGCCGACGGAGTGGCCGAAATCACGCATGCAAAAGTACAGATGGTGCGTCAGTACTTTTCTGTGCTCGCGGCGACGCAAAGTGCCGCGTCCTGATGCCCCTTGCGAGTTCTCGGCGCTCTGCACGTGCTGCGAATTTTCCTCGTGAGAGAGAGAGAGAGAGAGAGAGAGAGAGAGCTCGGTGCGGTTGAGATACGATTGCAAAGTAAACTTACCACTTGGTACAACTCGATCACGGACATGGAATCTGGATCTACCATGTGGCTTCCTTGTCGAGGTACCAAGTCGAGTCCCAATTTTCTGCAACATCAAAGTAATGCTGTCGTTAAGAAAATCACATGTAGCCTTTACATGGACGTTTAGTTCGGATTGTATAGAATTTTTTTTCATATATCAACAGATTTATAATGTTGAAGTTCTTCAGCAATTATTAAACGCTATCTTCTCACGTTTCACGGTCATGTGTAAAATAATTCTTGTACTGGATCACTTTAGGCTGATACATTGTATTTTATTTGACATTTTGTAATGTTTCGACTGACAAATTCATTTTGAGATGACAAGACGGTTTTAAAACTATTAAACTGTTGTTTCTGATAAGATTAACGAATCCGGTCAGCGAGACATCAAGTAAAATATAACGTATTAGCCGTGACAGAGGACAAGATTTATTTAAAATATCTTTAACAAGTGGCAATTGAACAAATCAGTTCCATAGTTATATGACCAACATTTTTAATATCTATATGAATACTGCCATTCTGCAAAGCACTATTGTAATATTTACCATAAGCATACTATAACGTTTTTATGTATATTTGAATATCACGGAGACAGCGGTCTATTGGCGAAAACTGATAATAGCTGATTAAAAATTGTCTTTGTCATAGGATTGCAGAAAACTGAGCGAAACATTGGTCATCTAATCGTAAATTCATGAATATAACAAAAATGACATCAATTTTCCAGATAATAATCAAACGAATTTTTCCATGTTTTTAATTATAATTTCCAAAGATAAAAAAATTCATTATATAAATCCATTATAATATGTCATCGTAAACCTACAAGCTTAAGCTTACTCGAGTTAGGTGGAGCCCTTTTTTTGCTACATACGAGTAAAAGACGTTTTACGAAGAAAGTTGAACTATGATTATGCTATGAAGGATTATTTATCTTCATATTTTTCGATGGCTTTAATGCATTTGAAAACTGAGATTTGACATTGAATTTTAGTTTCAATATTAATTGATGAAAAACAACTGACTGGCTATTGAATTGACGTGGATTCAAAAGCTACACTAGCGGCGACCTGATATTAGAGTCTTGAATATTAAATCTGTGAGTTTTACTATTTATATAAAAAAAATATTAAATAAGATGTTTTTAAGTACTACACAGTTGCGATAACGTCTAATAATTCTATTAATTCTAATGTAAATACTCTTTGCAATTAAAGAATTTTCATATTTCTCTTGGAGTACTCGAATACCTCTATACTTGTATATATATGAGTGTGAGTCAAATTTAAGAATGAAAATCAATCTCTTTATTTTTCCTGGGATTGCTAGAATATTACAAAATTGTAACATGTATATCAAATTGTATGATGTAGAGAACGATTGGCGTTATCAATGTCGCCGATAATGAGTGATTTGTAAACCTCATAGTTGTGCACTATACGTCTTCGTGAGATGATACTCCGATAGAGACGTGTCTTTCCTTGTGCACTCTGAATAAATTCTTTCTGATGGTTTAAAACATATATTTTTCGAGTTATTTTAATTAATAAATAATCATAAAATCTTAAAATTTCTTTATAATATATTCTTATTAAATTCCGCGTAGTATCAAACACTAATTAAAGCCCATATTTATCAATATACGAGTATTACTTTCAAGTTGTACGCGTTTCAGCACCGTCCGTCTACGAAAGCTCGCCAAGTGTCCTCGATGCGCGCAGCTTGAAAATCAAAAAGAAAAGAGGAACAACGTTACGCGAAAGATTGTTGTACCGGATCGAAGAAGAAGTTCGTCCGAAGCAAAAAAGACAAGATGCATTTTCATCACAATGAATCAGTAAAGTATCATCGTCGCAGAGCGGATCGGCGCTTCGACCCCCTTATTACGCCGGACATTTTCAAAGGAATCCGATCGCCGCGAATAATAGCCGCGCGAGCGCACGCAGGTAACTACCGCGCGGCAAAACAACGAGCACACCCTACACATAATAACAAGCTCCAAAAAAAACGAGAATTCAGAAATAAACGCTATCGCGTGCTATTTGGCATTCGGGGCGGAACACACGTACCAAAAGAGAGAAAAAAAAGGAAGCCACGAGATACAGAGGATAGCGCGTATCCGATAGATACCTTCTCTCTCTCTCTCTCTCTCTCTTTTTCTTGCACGTACAATTAAGGAGTAATCGACGTCTTGCGATCTTTCTCCCCCTTCGACCTTCGTGCGTGACGGCAGCATTCAAATAAAAGAGAAAGAGAAAAGGCGCAAAAGTTTTTTAATTGGGCCAGTTCCCACTGTGCGATATGCTCGATGATGAGCTTTCGTCGGCGACGGAGAGAGTTGCGGCAGTCGATTGGGTGCGAACGAGCCGCGCTGTCGTTCTTACCCCCGCGCTCGCGGCTTTCTCGGTTTTCGCAAACGCGCGCGATCCTTTATTCTTGGCCGCATCTCGCGCGCACTCCGCAGAGTTTCCGGGACATAAGTTTGCGTGCCCATTTGGCCAGCTGTCAAGACGTGCTCGAACTGGCGAATGCTCCGCCTCGCTCCCGTTCGCACCGAATCCGCGTCGATGAACGGGGCAAGTCGAGTCTCTTTTTTTTCTTTTACCGTGTCGAGTCGATCGGAGAACGAATCATTTTGAATACGTTTCCCGAAAGCTGAAGTGGGCGCGAGGCACGTCAGGACAGAGCAGGTATATTAGTATCCACAAGACAAGCGATCCCACCAACGAAGCCTCGGAGCTGCCAGCGCTTGCAAGCAGCCGATGACCACCCAAAAGCCAGCTGCGCGCCAAAGCCAGCAGCGTAGAGGCAGGGGCCAGCCTAATCCAACGACAAATCACGAACGCGCCTTGTCACCGGAGATAACGTTGACGCGATACCGCCTTGATTTCCGTCGTCTCGTGGCGCGATGGAAAACTCGAGCGAGCGGATCCAAGCCAAGATAAAACTTATCCGGAGGGCACTGCGCTACAACTCAATAATACACACCGAGGAATTCTTTCGCTCGGGCTGTCTCCGAGCGCCGCTTCTGCTACTGCATTTTTCTTCGCCGCGCGACCTGCCGCCGCTCGTGGCGCGTTTTTGTTCTCAGATGGCTCGAGATTCGTCTCCGGGGCAACAGCTGCAAGGTTGCGGCTCTGCATATACCGATGTCTCCACGAGTGGCTTCTACCTTCGCCTGTCCCCTTCCTTTTAACGAGGCCGATCAAGTCGTTCGATTATTAGCGATCCGCGCGCCATTTAATACGTCCATTTACGTTTTGCAATGGCGGGACCCAATGAAGCCCATCGGAATGCTTTCTTTATGCCTTCCGATCACGGCAATGATATTCTCTGGAATGAAGAGCTCGAGAGCTCGAGAGGCCAGTATTTTTACAATAGGCACCTGAGCGAACAAAAAAATGTGCATTTTTCAAGCGAGCAACGAGGTCCGTGGCCATCGTCCTCGCCCAAGTCCAAAACGCTCTCAGATATAATCTCTGTAACATTTTAAAGGTAGAGATAGGCGAAGAAGTGAAGGAGCGCGTAAAATCAGATTGAAAGTAAAAAAAAGAAAAGCTGGAAACGTTTCCTTCCATATTATTAAAGCTGGAAAAAAACCGTGGGTCTTTGGAGAATAAAGGTGCCTCGGAAAAGGAGTAAGCGAGAGAGAGAGAGAGAGAGAGAGAGAGAGAGAGAGAGAGAGAGAGTAGGTGGTTATGTGCAGGGTTCAGTCGAGGGCGTATTCGATCCTGAAGAAGAGGGCCCTTCTTTCGGGGCCTGCCTGGCGCGCGCGCGCTCGCTCGGCATCGAATGGAATGCAGGTGAGCACGGGAGAGAGAGACAGGTTCCGCTCTCCCGCGGCGCGCGGACCTATGCTCCATTCCGAAGATATCGGGGCGCGTGGAGGGAATATGGGACGCGCGTGGGCGAAATTCCCCGCTCGCCTCGCCTGCGACCAGCGCGCCCCCGAGGCGGCCTCGCGAAAAGCCCGCGTCTCGCTTTGTTACCGAGTCCCGCGTGCCCCGCCGCTCCCCCCGTCTCCTCTGCGCCTTTCTCGTCCAAGCTCGAACCTCGTCTGATTTGTGGCTTAATTCAATTTCGATTAACGCGCACACTTTGCCTTCTGCGCCACCTGCCCGTGAATACCGCCTCGCGGTGGACGACTGTCGCCGTCCCCTTTTTCGCAAATTGCCAAGTCAAAGGGGAACGATCGTTTCATTTCTAAGCATCGCTTCAACGTAGAGAACTATCCGCAGGAATCAATTCTAAATTTGAATATTTCATGAGAAGGATTCATTAATTGACCGCAAAAAGAGGATTCTAAAATTAGTACGCCTATAATGATTCGCGCAGGAAAAAACAGGTTTTCCACTTCTCTCTTTCTTTCTCGGTCCCGCTTGAATATTCACGAGAAAGAGAGAGAGAGAGAGGTTGTTTGAGAAGCCTTTAAATTCCATTTGATTAGTTTTGTCAACACAAAGTTTGCGATCGATACCTCTGCGATCAAGAACGTCTTTTGAAGTCGCAGCCAGAGGCGAGGCGAAAGTGCATCTTTGAAGTTGAAAAAACGCTGTCTCCGTTTCTCCCGGGCGCGAAATTCCAGCGACGCCAGAAAAGAACAGGAGGAGCATGGCTATACAAGAAGAAGAAGAAGAAGAAGAAGGCACGCGGTGGTGGATGGGATGCGGGAGCCGAAGGAGCAATAGCCTCCACGTTTGCCGCAGCCGTCGTCTTGGCGCTCTTACGATCAGGCAGCTATCACCGGTGTTACCGTCTCTCCCAACCCGCAGCTTGCTCTCTTTCTCTCTCTCTCTCTCTCTCTCTCTCTCTCTCTCTCTGTTGCTCTCTCGTCGACGGTCAGAGAGAGAGAGAGAGAGAGAGAGTCTCTCGTGTTGCCAGGTAGGTAGTCAGGCATGTGGACGCATACGCACACGCACACGTTGAACGCCAGTCAGGAGCGTATATTATAGGCGCGGAGTCAACGACTCTGGCCATTCTCGCGCGAGCAGCGGCTGTGTGTGTGTGTATAGAGAGAGACAGAGAGAGAGAGAGAGAGAGAGAGAGAGACCTCGGGGG